CCTGAGAATATTCTCTTCATTGATTCGGGATATAATATGCAGTACAACCCTGACCTGGTAAGGATCTTACATTTTTATCAAGAAAATTCATGCCTTCTGAAGCTTTGGCCACATTCTAAAACGTTCTGTTATTGTGTACAGCTGTGTAATTGGCATGATGTGTTTTTGTACTCAGAAACGGGATGAACGGACGTTGAAGAACCCAGATGTGAAGCTTGTGGACTTTGGTAACGCCACATATGAGCACGAGCACCACACCTCTGTGGTGTCCACACGTCACTACCGGGCTCCTGAAGTCATTCTAGGTATGTGGCGGTTTTTAACGCATCTTATGCAGATCCTTCAGCAGAGACAAGTCTTATTCAGGGAACATTACCTCTTTCAGATCTGGGCTGGGGCCATGCCTGTGATGTCTGGAGTGTGGGCTGCATTCTCATTGAGTACTACCTTGGAAATACTCTCTTCCAGGTAAGACTCATGGGAAACTGCTTTAACCAAGTATTACAAGTAATGAATATGTTTGGTCTCATATTATAGTCCTTGACGAAAAGCTTGATTTCGAACATATTTAGAAGATCGTCTACACGTTCACTCGTGTAAAACAAAACTATTTAATTCAAATGAAACAATACTGTCATCATATATATGTGTTGTCTCTTAGTGTCTCATATCAGACAAGGACAAAACTAGAGCTAGCATTTGATTATCATAATTACAATATAAAAGGATATTTACTGTTGGTAACAAACTTTTTAGCTAAATGTAATGCTGTGGGTATAAAGAAGCAGGGTTTTTTCTAATATCAACTATAATAACAGTATGCTAGGATAAAGGCTTCCAGAGCCTGGATAGTTTTGGTTTATGGACAATAAAAAATGCTAGCACCTTAAGCAATGTCAGTTACCATCGCATTTAGCTAAAAGTGATATTGTTTTCTCCTTCAGACTCATGACAGTAAAGAGCACCTTGCTATGATGGAGCGAGTCCTGGGCCCCATCCCAATGAAACTCATGCAGAAAACAAAGTACGTGGATTTTAAACTTTTGACGTGCGTTTTTTTACCATCTTCCTTCCTCCTGAACATATACAATGCAGACAGAATTTTAAAAGATGTTTCTAACTCGTATAAATGGTTTTATCTTCGTGTGTACAGGAAGCGGCGGTATATCCATCGGTGCAAGCTTGACTGGGATCCACAGAGCTCTTCTGGGAGATATGTCAAGAAACACTGCAAACCCCTCAAGGTAAGAGAATCTGTCTGTCCACCCTGTCCATGCTGCATGTAGTTCACACGTATGATATGTAGAGGACAACCATTTGAATTGCATATAAGTTAGCTACCTTTTTTGTTTCTAAAACTTGGAAAAAACATCAGTATGATTTGTTTGTTTAGTATTCTTAGACTAATGGCGCGTTTCCACTACACGGCCTTGCTCGGCCTCGCTCGGTATGGCTAGGCCTCGTTAGGACTGGCTCACTTTATGGCGCATTTCCATTACAGTTTAGGAACTGGGGTAGTATCTATAGTAACGCAGTGTAGGCGGAGCCGTGACGTCATCTTCAATGAGAACCCCAGAAAAACAACACAGCCGTTAGCTGTTAGCACTCAGAGCTCACAGCTCCTCATATATGTTCAGAAACTAGACAAAAGTTAAACAAGTACAAACCACAGACTGCCTGTGTCATGGCGAATACAGTCGCTGCTTTATTTATGTCTGTATAGGCCGTTGTTGTGAGTGTGGACGGTCGGAGCATATACTGCGTTAGCTTAGCCAATCTCCATTTAGAACACACGCATTTTAAAAGGTTTTTCGCCTGCCGTCTGTCTGCAGACTTGACAAAGCATTAATTCATGGTTTTTACTAACCGGTATCAGTATGTTGTTACTTCGGCATCATTTTGAAACGTGTATTACAATTAAATCACGGTCAAATATGTCCATCTTGTTGTAGTTGTAGCCCCCTTGCCAGCGATGCTCTCTCTAGTTTAGCATACTCAGCCTCGTTGTCTCTGGCCCTAGACCCACGATTTTATGAGGCCAGAAAAACTGTGAATTAGGACCCGCCGGCCGGTACTAGGCCAAGTGGAAACGCAACCAAAGACGGGCCGCTGACGTCACAGCCCTCTTAAACCGTGCTGTAGTGGAAACGCGCCATAATTGTCACCTTTTTTTTGTCATCAGAATTACATGCTGTCTAAGGGCGAGGACCACCACCAGCTGTTCGACCTGGTAGAGAAGATGTTGGAGTACGACCCAGCGACGCGCCTCAGCCTGGAGCAGGCCCTGCGACACCCCTTCTTCTCCTGCTACCGCAAGAGCAGCAGCAAGAGCAACCGCAGAAGCACCAGCAGCAGCAAAAAAGACTGAAGCTCTGCTTTGTGACCTTGGTCAGGGCCTGGCTGTCACCATGACGATTCTCATGGTGACAGCGCAGCCTCTACTTCCTGCCTCTCCAGGAGAGGTGTAGCCTCGCTGACTGTATCAGTCCTCTGCCCTGCTCCGCTGTGTCCTCTCCTACGCCAGTGTGTTCTTACTCAATCAAACTCATCAACCAGCTGTGTTATCTTCTGTGGCAATTTCTGATGTAAGGAATTCCCAAATTGATTTATATTTATTTGCTAATGTAATTTAATTCTGGTAAAAGCCTTTTTTTATTCAAGTCCAATTGTGTCCATTGTCTTTCTGCATTGTGAAGTGAGTGATGGGGAATGTACCAGATTGAGATTAGGTTTACCCAGCATCAGTCTTACCAGTAGTAATGTATTCAGCACTATGGATATAAAAGCTATTGCGGGCAAAAAATCCTTGTACATACAATTTGTTATTGATATTTCTTTTTTTTTCACTGACTTTTGCAGTATTGTGTACATTTTTCTCAATAAACGTGAATAGATGATAGTAATGTCTCCTGTGTGTGCAGTGATTGAGATGTTCAGTTGCAGTAGCTTCATGTAACCACCGGGTGGCAGTAAAAAGCTTTCAGGTTACTGCAAGAGTGCCGCCTGATGAGCACTGTGGGCTAACATGGTCGTGGCAAAGCATTAACTGAAATATAGATGGACCTGGAGCTCCTAGCACGGCACCAACAGGACATGTGTAATGCTATTAACATTGTACACACCACTTGTAGAACGAAAAGCTGCACCCTTTCAAAATGATAATTGCACAAAGTAGAAATTGGGTATAACAATGAAACTAATGGAAATAGAAGATTGCAATAGAAACACCTCTTAATCGTTCATGTTAACCGCACAACACAGTGCATTTAGCCTTTGCATTTAACCCATTTTAGTGTTATGAGCAGTGATGCGACCTTGCTCCTCAGCACCAGTCCACACTGCGTTTCCTACTCATACGGGGACCCTCTGCAAAGCTTCAGTCAGGTCATATAGGCACTGGGCTACTGCCGGCTGAAAAATAATCCAAACTATCAGACATCAAAAACTAATATACAGTTTTCGTATTATTTAACGTCTATGGCATACTGTTGCCCTCAGGCAACAAATCACTTTTTTCGACCTCACACTGGCCCTCTAAATATTTTTATTTTTTTAAATATACACAATGTCACCTGACATGCTGGTGTCCAATAAAATGAGGGAATGATATGGGTGTGGCATTTTGTCTGGTGGTGGAGCAGTCCTTTCTGCAAGCAAAGCTGCAGGGGACTCAGGGCCACCACTTGGTAAGATACATTTCACTTTTTAACATATTCTAAATGTACACAACTTCATTTCATTTCATTTCATTTCAAACCTTTATTTATCCAGGTGTATCCCATTGAGATCATTGATCTCTTTTTCAAGGGAGACCTGCTCAAGTAGGTTCCACATGAAACATAAAAACATAAACAGAACAACAAAAGGACATCATACAACATCTTAAAATAAAAAATACATGCATGTGCATGAATACGTAAAGAAGTATATTTGATTTTTTAAAGACTTATGTATTTATTAATTAGCTAAAACTATGTTTTTTTGTTCGTTGCCTGAGGGCAACACTGTGCCACTTAGACCACTTTTTTCCAGGCAATATCATGCAAGTGTGCAAATGTGCTCAGCTGTAAAATAATAAACCTAGTCAATGTTTTTACTTTACCATCTACTGATATTTACAGGAAATGGACACCAAAACATGTTATGGGCAGAAGGGACATGATCAGGCTGTTAGGGCTATTCCGTCTGACAGTGAGGACAGTGACGGTCAAGATAGGGTTAGGCACACAGACACACACACACATAGACACACACACACACACACACACACACACACACACACACACAAAGAAAACCTTTTGAATTCATATCGAGTTGTTTTTTCTATTTCTTCTGAATTGTAGAAATCCTTGGTGTTTCAATACCCTCGTAGCACATTGTTGCCCTGAGGCAACAAACCAACCCCTGGTTGAGGGGTGTGGGGGGGTCACATTTTATAATTGATATAATATCAGGGACCCCTAAGCTCCTAAAACACATGGTGAAACATTTTTTTCTCCCAAAATAAAAAGTCATGCCAGAGGGTTAAGTTTGTAAATAGAGTAGATATTGATTGATTTACGTCCTTCTCTGTGAACTAAACATTTGCTGAAGGATCTGCAATATTATGATCCTCCAGATGCTTATTTTTTACAATAGGCCTATATGGCTAGTCACTGCTGGGGTCAGGTATTGAAAACAGAAACCGTTTGTAAGTTTGGAAATGTAAACTATATTTACACATTTCAGTTTATCACACAACAAGGCACATTATCTTCACTTCGAAAAATTCTGCATTGGTTTTAGAAAAATAACAATTAGCATCCTGGACTACACCGTGACCGTACAGTGCTGAGGTGCCGAGCGTTCACAGTCTCTCAGCTGTCATTCAGCAGCCTCCCACGTGGTCAGCAGGGCGGGCGCATCTCAACTAGTTGAACATGCAACTTTTAGGGAGGCAAATAATTGGCCCCAGTGGTAGTTTCAGTCGCGCATCCATGGTGGATACTCCCCAACAGGAAACAACCACCAGTACGTTTGAAGGCGCCTTTCACTCTGGTTGGCATGCATATCGCTCCCATGTGTTTGGAGTAAACCCGGTGTGCACTGCCGCTGCCTGCTCCTGCCTCTTGTTCCAGACTAATTTAAGACAGCACTTTCAACTTTGAGTTCAGTGTTGTGTTAGGTGCGCTGTCTACTCTACGGAGCCTGAGTTAAACCGCAGAACTACACCTCCAAAACAAGGCGTTTTTGGGGTACTTTATGTTCATCCAGAGGACTGTAAAGCAGGATTTTACAATGGATACAGCCAGCCACTCTATCGGGGAAAGTAAGCCTGTGTGTGAGTTTGCGCCCAAGTCTTCGGTGCAGCGGTGGCTTCCAGGTTTTCCCATCGCTCTGTGCCTGCTGCTGTCTATGAGCTCCATCACCGTGTGTCTTCTGATGAGCCTCAAGACCTTCCAGCTGGAGAGCCGAATGCAGATGGAGATGGACAAAGCCTCCATCTTCCAGCCGCCGCACAGGGCTTGTCTAAACGAGGATGGGACCCTAACTCCAGAGCTGAGCTCATCAGTAGGGAAATTCGTGGAAGAGGTACATTGCATCTATTGTCTTAAATTGCCTCTATTGTATTAAATAAACAGCCTACATTGTGTTTGTGAACTTCTGACAGAGACCTGTGCGTAAAAGTGCACTGAGATTGACAAACGCACAGACTTGGCACTTTTTTGGCAATTGCTCCCTAATTATTCCCCCTAAAATCAGTTTGTTTTTAATGTATGACCGTAGGGGTCAACATTGCATGCAGCTGGCTAATTACGTTTACAGTTAAAGCTCTTTATAGAGTGATATAACCACTGATGAGACCCCAACCTATAATTTGATCAAATGGAAAAGGAATTGAGGTAGCCCTTTAAATGTTTGAGCTTTATGTAATGGGAGACAGATGATTTTTTTTTATTGTTAGTCATTGAGATTTTGTAAATCTTTTATTCTCTGAAATGTTTCTTAATGATTTCCTCATTAAAAATATATTCATGTCTAGAACTGGGATTTTAAACTGAGGTGTTTTTTCTCTGCCTGCAGAAAGTGGTGGTGCTGTTGCCGAAATTAAGGACAACTAGGGACGTTGGCCAAGAGTGCTCCTGCCCTCCAGGTATGTCTCTTTCTTTGTGGCATTAGTACCACTTACAACAACTCTGCAGCCTATCAGGTAAAAGTTACAGTCAAGGCATGACTGAAGGCTAAGAAACCTGATTATCTGTCTATGATGCTCTTTTGAACTGAGAGTGTATGTGTATCTGAACAATAAGAATGCATGTGTATCGTTTCTGTGTGGAGGAAATCGGCCCCTTCACTTAGGCAGGGCCCATACTGAGACGGCAGGGTTCTGCACTCGGCAGATCAGCGGGGTCGGGACGTCCAGCCTCAGCCCTGCCGCCTGAAAGTCAGTGGGGGATGCTCACTTTTATAGATGGTGCAGCCAAGTGCCAAGATTGGCCACGTTTGGCTGGCGGTGTTTGTTACAGGGCTTGTGATAGTTCCACGGGTGGAGAACAGTGTGTGATCCACATCATGTTACACACAGAGTCCCCCGTTATGCCTTTGAGTTGCAAGAAATATGTTGTTTTTTCTATTTTGGGTAAAGATGCTGCTCCATTTGATGTATTGATGAAGCATCAGTCGGTGTGATCATCAGTGTGTTCAATGGTTAACATTGGCTATTTTTACCTCACCTTTGGAGAGGAAAGTTGTGGTTTGTTGCCAGAGAAATTCTCAGGCTTGCATTCAGGACATTTTAAAATTGCAACTCAAGTGGAATCCTACGTAGTCACCGAGTATGTGGTTGCAAACATGTCTTTCTTTAGTGTGACTTTTGTATCAATAGGTTACAGCAGAGTATTTAAGCTGCTTCTCTGCACATATGGGACATTTCTCTCCCTGGCTCTTGTTTCTTCTCTCTTCCTCTTTGTCTGCGAGTGTGAATAGCCCTGCAACAACGAGAGCAGGTGAAAACGTTCACAAGTGGAATTTTTGGCCCCCTTTCAACACATTCTGTTTTCCAGTCTGAAGGCTGCTGTGCTAAGATAGCTTGCGGTCTCTGTTTTGCAAAGTTGTTAGAAGTGTTGTTGGCATTGGATTCAGCAGAGCGCTCTCAATGTAAGTGTAGTTTTACTTCTATGCATTTGTACTAAGCATTACTCAGTAGAATTATAATCAGATACTTGTTGCCCAATTAGCCTGTAATCCTTTTGCCTGGTTCTTGTGCATTTGAATGTACGTTTTTTCATTAGAACATATTATTGTATCAAATGTTAAATCCCATTTTCCTGTCAATTGTTCTTAACTGCTGTGTAATCATGTGGTTTTGGCACTGAAATCCAATCCCTCCACAACTATTTAGAAGTCTATTTAAAGTTTTCTCTTTCCAGTTTTTGGTACTGGTAAGATGCCTTATTTTGTGAAACAAGGCTATTTTGTTTATTACGGCTTTGATGCAACCGTTTCCCTGTAAATATACTTTTTTCCACGTCAAGAGAATTTCTCAGCCGATAAAACCTAGAGATTTTCCAGGTTCTCTGGCTCAAGAGTCCACATGAGCTTGGTACATTTAGGAGTGAGCATGTGTTCGTGCCAAGTACTTAACACATGATTCATGCAGAAGTTGGTATGTACATTTATCTGAGCTGAGCTGTGCATCCCATCAGTGTGACTGTGCAGTGTGGTCATGGTCCCATATGGCTGCGTGTGGTGTTGTATATGTGTGTGTGGGTGTGGGTGTGTACGTTTCTGTCACTGAACCTTTGAGGGGCCGACAGAGGCAGCTCTCTCAACACGACACTGTAAGAAGAGACCCTCCTCTCCCTTTAGCATCAGCTCTTCCCACCTGAAACCTGAATCTCTCACCACCAAGATCACAGGCCAAAGTATTCCTGCCTGTATGTGTGTGTGAGGGACACACTGCCACACAGCATGAGTGGCATTTCAGCCATTAAATCTATGCCCGCCACATCACGGTGCTCACCTTACAGCCTGCATGAAGACAGGGGCCCAACAGGGGGCAGCACTTCTGCAGCCGCACTGGAAATGATGATGTTGAATTTGTCATTGGCGCTTCTGACTTAATAACTTCCTTCTAAAGAAAATGTTGTAGGCAAAGCGCTCTTGTTCAGTCACAGCTGTAGAGACACTGTTTATAAATAGTTTTTGACGCCAAAGAACATTTATCTCTGGTTTCCCCTCCGTAAAAGCAGCATTGTGACACTTTTATGCTCACAGATACGACACGGCAAGCAGTCGTTAAGGCTTAGGCAAACTGTGTCACAGAGAGCAACTCTGCTTACAAGCTTCAGGTGTTTGCAGTTAACACCCGCCTGTTCCCTCAACAGACACACACTACGTATGCTTGCACACAAACCTGCACACACAGGCATTACGAACACATGAACACAACACCTTTATGGTGCCTGGGCTAATTAGAAGCATGTGGGGGCTGCATGTGTCCTGTGTAGAGGGAGTGTATTGTCATCTCTGCAATTTGCATTTAAAGGCTGTTTAACAGGTCTGAGAGCAGCTAGGGGGCACACCGTCGGCCCACACTTGGGCACGGGCCCAACATTAAATGGCAGCCAGATACAACCAATAATATGACTCAGTCACTGGAGACTGCAGCAGGAGAGGGATGCAGTGATCACTCATCCAATAAGAAGACAGTGTTGTAGGATTTTTATGAAATACAAGGTCTGAACAGCCTTCAATGGGGCAACATCTTAAATATTACGATGAATTTAAAAAAGTGAGGGGTTGCTGCTCCTATTTGTCCTTTGTTAGCATTAACTAAATATTCTTTAGGTTTGGACATCACGAAAACAAAGAGATTTTTCTTTATACTTCTGATTTGTTTCAGACCAAACAAACTAAAATCCAGCCCTTGTTGACATATTGTGTTACCTGCAGGTCTTGGGTTAATGTTTGTTTAAGTTAAAGTATGTTTGTATCCTAAATTATAGTCAGGACTGAACTCCTTCAGTCGGCTGAGGGCATCCAAGTCTTTGGTGTTAATGTATATCAGAGCAAGAGGTCAGACCCCTGGCTGTGCGGTCAGATCATTTTCCATCAGATAAGAGTTAATAAACGCACTGAACGGGAACACTGGCCTCCCGGGTGTGTGTTTTTATATAACTGAGAGCATGCTCACAGCAGGGTTCCTTGACGTATTTACCATGTACACATGCAAACAATAACTTGTTTCAGCTACAGCCTTTTGTTTTTATTGCGACTCTAAACTCCTATATTTGGTTACTGTTATACTCCCACTGTCTGTCAGTGGTCTGCTGAAGTCCCCGGTCTGCTCCTGCTCCCACACCTGGAGGAGGAGACCGGGAAAGCCGGCTTTAGGGAGACCCACAGTGGGGCCAACACCCCCCAGGGCTGCATTTTATTTTTAAAGCCATAATAATCAGACAGGAAGCTTGTAGCTACCTAGACAATGTATCGCTACAGGACTTGTACGTTGGCCATATAAGTTCCATTAATGACCATTTAAAAGATAATAAACGCAGGAAACTGTTTTCATAAGTGTTCTTGTTTTAGATTTGTTCCGCTATAGCTGTGGGCTGTATGCATTTTTTTTATAATATTCTGGAAAGAAGCACATAACTGTGTGTGTGTGTGTGTGTGTGTGTGTGTGTGTGTGTGTGTGTGTGTGTGTGTGTGTGTGTGTGTGTGTGTGTGTGTGTGTGTGTGTGTGTGTGTGTGTGGTGTGTGTGTGTGTTGTGTGTGTGTGTGTGTGTGTGTGGTGTGTGTGTGTGTGTGTGTGTGTGTGTGTGTGTGTGTGTGTGTGTGTGTGTGTGTGTGTGTGGTGTGTTGTGTGTGTGTGTGTGTGTTGTGTGTGTGTGTGTTGTGTGTTGTGTGTGTGTTGTGTGTGTGTGTGTGTGTGTTGTGTGTGGTGTGTGTGTGTGTGTGTGTGTGTGTGTGTGTGTGTGTGTGTGTGTGTGTGTGTGTGTGTGATCCTGTAGCAGAGCATCCAGGTGGCTTTTGACATTATGCTGCAGATTTCCAACTGGGGAAGAAAATATACAATATTTTTTTTTAAATACAAAATACGTTCCACCCTGCTGCTGCACATAATTGAGGTTCATACCGTACAGATTGGCGTTGGGCTGTAGGGGCTCCAGACCAAGATGTAGTCATGAGTCAATCCTGTCACACTCTTAGTTTCAGAAGAGTTTCAGCATTTATAATCTGTCACACTATACATCTTCTATAGGACAATTCAGAAATGTGTTAAATGGATTCAGAATACTGGACCATAAATTGGGATATAGTCTTAAAATGCAAAATGTTTGCCTTGGATAAGTGGATGAACACTGGTGGTTATAGCTTTATGACGGACATCTTGAGCCTCATCCCTCTGCTATTCCCTTCGTTCTCCATTCATTGCAGCCTGCTTTGTTTTAGCACTCTAGCACTTTAGACACCAACCTCATATGGACAGCAGCTCTAGTGCACAGCTGTGGGAGCCCCGTGTCCTCAGGTTACTTTATCCTTTCCTTGTGTCTGATACTTCCTCTGGTCTCTGTAGGAGTCAAATCAAAATGAGTCTGAATGACTCTTCTTGATATCTTGTTCCCATTTGGAAGAGGATCATGGACAGCTTGAGTGTGCTCCGTTTATTTGTAGAGGACGAAGGGAATGATGCCTCTTGGAGATATTTGGTTTGAAGATGGTTGTGTCTATATCGCTGAAGTCAAAGGAAATACTATATTTGTAAATGAGATAATCTTTTATTCAGATTCAACAACCAGTTGATGATGGATTATCTAGTGATCAAAGTGATATCTAGTTTATAGTGCTATCTAGTCTGATAAAAGTGATGTCAGGCCACATCTGTTGAACCTGGGGCTGAAGATTACACATTCGATAATGAAAATAATCTGGAGGTTTTGAGTCAAAAAAGAATGAGTCACCAAACCTCTGTAGCCTGGTCCTCGTCTCTGCTTTCGGTAACATTTGTCACAAGTCACGTAAATCACCAGAATCGCAGAACAAGCTATTGGCGAATGAGTGGGACTGTGGGTAATAAATTCCACAGGTTTTTAACCCGTTTACATACTCATGTTTCAAGTAGGATCAATTTGAAATGAAGAATAGCTG